TAAAAAAAAAAAAAATAAGATGCCCAGGAGATGCCCCAGAAAGAATATTAGAAGAGTTCTATTAGATCAGGCTACAATAAGCAAATAAGCACAAGCAGCCAAGAATTTAAACATGTTGGCAAATTCAGAATCCACACATCAACCAAAAAATAAAGAAGCTGTTAAAACACCACAAAATTCAATGTAAAGATGGGACAAAAAACAACTAAACCTCTACATCACCGAAGGTAACATATGACACATATCCACAACAATTGTGGTATTTACAGAAGCTAAAAACTTAACGAGAAACGATTTAGTTAAATCTCAATCTTTAGTTTCCAACAAAACCCTAATTATCAACTGGTAACTAAATCATGAGAACAAAAACCAACAACACCTGAAATCAACAGAAATAAGCTGAAAAGTAAAAACAAAAATATAAAAATCATACCAAAATAAGATCAAAAAGCGTAGCCTGATCCACTTTGACAAAATCCGCGTCGAAATTCTTGAGATCATCGTCGGGAGAAGGCTTGTCGTCCGCCTTGGTGCCAGAAGCTGCGGCGGCATCCACGTGGCGCTTGCAGTACTCGATCACCTTCGAGAGGATCTTACCGGTGACGTTGGGGAGAGGGATGACGTTGTCGGCGCACTCGTCCTCAATCATGTGCTTGATTGTCTGAGACTCAACAGCCACCGCCTCTTCCACCTCGAAAACCTCCCCATCGGAGCTCCTCAGAGTTATCTTCTTGGTTCCGTTCTCCGCCGCGGACGACGACATCTCTAGAATTCGAAGATTGGCTAGGTTTGTGTTAAGATAGCGAGGGGAGATTGGACCCTTCCGGCTTATATAGATATTTTACGATAATGGGCCGAGCTTATGTTTATTTATTCCTTTTCCCCGTGGGTGGAAAAAATAAAGAAAATAAGGTTCCAAAAATTTTTGTTTTTTTATTTTATTTTCATACAGTTTTCGAACTATTTTAAATACGATAAATTCAACTTAAATCCTTTCTTCCCTTTTCAACTTTCAAATCAGTCCCCTTCTTAATTTTTTTACTCTGCACTCTTTTTCACTAATTTTCTCTTTCCATTTCACTCCACATATATATAGTAATGTTATTATATTTATTCATTTATTTTTGCTTGAAAATCACACAAAAAACTCAGTGCTCTCTCTCTCTCTCTCTCTCTCTCTCAGTAATAATCCCAAATTGTAAAAATCGTCCCCACCGTGCATCTCCTTCGCCGGCCACCACCTCTGTAAAACTCAGCCCGGCACCACCTCCGTGAAGCTAATTTGTAAGGAAGTTGTGTTTTTTAAGAAACCCAATCCAGGCAAACAAATTAATAAACAAAGAACAAAACTGAAGAAAGGGCAAAAATTATTCGCCGGAAGCATGCGTCGCCACCAGCATAGGAGGCGAAACGTCTCGCTAGTTTTGAATCCGATTCAAATTCCGATTTGGATTTCGGAGAAGGCGAGGAAGAAGATGATGCGGAGGAAGGATCCGTATCGGGGTGTGTTGTAGCAAATTATTTTTATTTTACCGAGCACCGAATCGAATGATTCGTTTCCAGGGTCGATCTTTCGAGGAAGGCGGTTCGGAACTTAGAATTGGTGTTAAAATCACAAGAAATGAAAATAACTCCTAAACATTCTAATCAAGATAGTAAAGATTGATTATTAACTAAGAATAGTATAAAAGCAACTAAAAAGATAAATGGAAAATGCAGATACTAGGGAATCGGGAATAAACGTTTTGAATCGAAATGCAATTATCAGCTAGTTATCATTCGGTTAAAAGGCTCGATTAATTAACTCATTTAGCGGTTACCCTCAATACGTCTCCGAACATGCTGATAAACATAAATGAGCGAATTAACGAAACAATTAACACATAGACAATACGTCTCCGAACATGTCTATTTTGTATGAGTCTCGATCAATTGACCTTTCCCCTTTCGGTTCAAGAGTCGATTAAAATAGACTATAGGATTATCATTCGTCTAGTCTATTCGGATAGTGATCTTCACAGTAGAACACATTATATTCAAATTGAAAACAAGTTAAACATTGAAGTGTCACTCTTCAATTCTTAGAAATCAATTGCAAGGTTGAATTGTCACTTTTCAACAATATGTCATTCCAAAGAGAAAATCAAAAATCGAATTTAAAACTAACTCATACAAAGTGAACAATCAACGAGCACGATAATTACAGACGAAATCAAATATTCATTCCCTATCCCTAGCAATAAGAATTAGCTAAGCATATTGAATTCAATACAACATAAGATTTCTCCTAAATTAATCATTTTTCATAAATTAATTAAAGAGAGAACTTACAATTGATCCTAACGTTGAATCCAACTACAAAGCTTCATCCACAAGACCAAAAGAAAAATACAAGAACAAGAAGGAGGAGGAGATGGAAAATAGGGGAAGAACCCCTCTATGGAGTTGTGTCCTTCTTATCCCAAAACCATGCCATATTTATAGGTGAATTGTCCATCTTTTTCCTTCACCATTCAAGCCAGAAAACATGGAGGGAACATGAAGGAGAATATGGAGAAAGGTGCTCAAAACATGGTGGTGAAAGTTGCTCAAAACATGGAGAAAAGTGGAAGAAAATGAAGAAAAGCCACAATTTCAGCAACTCACAGGTTCCGCTGGCCATGACGAATCTCGCTGGCCGTGATGAAGAGCTCCGCGGCCGCGACTTTTCTAGGCAGAAAATGACTCGCTGCCCGCGGTGAAGAAATCTGGACTGCATTGCTCGGCTTTACGTTTTGGGCTCGTTTGAGCTCGTCCGAACTCGGAATTGAGCTATATTTTTTCCTACATGTAGCTAACGAAGCCCTCTACGCATTTGTGTTCTAAAATCCAACTTCTTCTTCAAAACTTATTCACCCAAAGCTTTTGATTTCAAGTTGACGGAATCCGTGCATGAATTCGCATATTGGGCCCGTCCGGACTCGTCTGAACTCGAAATTGGATTTCGGTTTTTCCTATGTGTAGCTAAGAAATCCATCTATCCAACCATGATTTCCAGACCCGTTTTCGAGCTAAATCGATTCCTCACGGGGCTTCCGACCTGCACACTAAAAACAAGAAGAAAAACGACAAAATACACGAAAACACATAAAAAGCCAAAATAGAACAAAACACACAATAAACTATAACATGAACTAAAAACTAACAAATAGACCTAAAATGAGGGAAAATGAACGACAAAATAGTACAGAAAAACGTAACAAAATTGGTCACAACAACTCCCCCACACTTAAACATTTGTTCGTCCCGAACAAAGAGAAAAGAAAACAAACACGAACATGGGTACAGTTTCAAATAAGACATGCCTCAAAATGCTTAACTCAATCGGGTCGAATTCCAACGACCGTACGACCATGTGCCTCAAATATCGACTTGGCCTTAAAATGACAAACTCTCAACACATAGGTCATTATATATGCCTCACTCATTTTCTTATATGAATATGTGATAGGTTCGCTCAAAATTGGTCGATATTCACGTTTGAACATATGCTTGCCAATCGTCTAAATTACTCGGAATCAATCAAAGCTCAAAATTTTTGAATCAAGAGGACTTCTCGGGTTGTAATGTGTGATGTAGGTAAATGTAAGGATATATATATGGACAAGAAGCTCAAATAGACAATTAAAGTTCTCGAGTAATAAAATACTCGAATGTCCGCCACTCAATCAAAGTCAACAAGATAGCATACATACTGTCCACCAATGTCTCCACAAACAACACATAAATGTTCCATTCGAATTGCAATATTGCTTGACTTATTACATTCATTTTTTTTTAGAGAGTTACTATTTCCGAACAAGCTCGAATCGTAAGGACAATATTCCTTAGGTTTAAACATTGGAGGTCATCCAAGTGCCCTAAAGTGGTTTCCCAATAATCATTACTCGTTAAAATGAATAACAAGTAAGCGGAGTAGAATCCAATCGATTCGTCTTGCGAGCTCTCATGTATTATTATTATTATTTTTTTATTATTATTCTTTTTTTTTTCTTCTTTTAATGTCAAGCATAAAATGCAACTCGATTTTCACGTCATTCAACAATGACTCCGTTTTTACCAATCATCACGCATATCAATCAACAAAGTTCATTATATGTGCGGCTGAGAAGAAACGGCTCAAGGCTCAAACGGGTTACTAAGGAATATAATGTTAGGACCAAAGAACAAGGCAAAACGAGCTAACAAACAAAACGCCTCAATCATTTTCGAAATTTCAAACTTTAACCGATTTTTTTCAAATAGACTCAAGGCAAGTTCTAATCGTTCGAGAATACGACCAATATCTCTCAAGAAAAAAAAGTAAGGATCAAAACCTCACAAGGTAAATAAATGTCACTAAAAGCAATCAAGTAAATATCGAGGCAATGGTAAGTACGTCCATCATCACAACTTCCCAATTTCATCAAACAATCATCAACAAATCATATAATTCACCAATACCACATGCTCGACAACATGACAACCTAGATACTAGACCGACCACATAAGTATGCAAAATCCACGTAGACTCCCCCACACTTAAAATGAAGCAATGTCCTCATTGCTTCCACACATAACCGGGAAGTTCAAATATCAAGACTTAGCACTATCACAGACATATATATGTAGTACATATTACTTTGATTCACTTGGGTGAGGTTCAGTTCGTTGGACTAATGTTCTTACTGTCTTGGGTAATATTAATGTACATATGACGTGTTGTTAGGATATTTACGGTCACCATGTGCGCTAGATTGATGATGTCCCCGAAGTGAGTTCATGAAGGATACCGCCGACCGCCACCGCGAGCCACACGACAGCCGACGAACGACCGCCGCGACCACACAACCCGATCACGACGACACTGGAAACCTCCACGCACCACACGACCGTCGCAATCCCGCCACTCGTTCGTGTTCCTGGCTTCTTCGTGTGCTGTTCTCGGTCATCCCAAATCCGATAGATTTAGAAAATTGTAAGCCGTAAGTTTTTATCGTCAAACCTTTAGATCCGTTGCGCATAGGTTTACGTTTGCTATTGAATTCATGATTTGTACATAACGAGATCCTCATAGATCTCAACAATTATACTGAATATATGTGCACAGTGATTCCCACGGTGAGCTAGTAGTTTATTCACCCCCATTATTATTATCTTTATCAGGTTGAGTTGGTGGTTGTGGCTAAGGACGGACGAGAGTGGTCAATGTTTATTTGATTATTATGAACTATGTTTGTTGATTTTGCTTCCACTTAAACTTGGATGTTTTCTAAACTTATGATTGCTTTCGAACTGATGTTTTGAATGTTGATTTGGATATGGTTTGACAATGATGGTTGATTTGATGATTGTTACGAGATTATGTTGATGTGGATTATGTCTCGTAAGTGTTTATGTGATGTGAAAATTTAGGCAATGAGTTCCCAACGGTTATGATGATGCTAAGCCGAGTAGTATGAATGGATCAGTTGAGTAGCACCCGTTAAATTGATTTCAAAGCAAAAAATGAATTTTGAAAAATTTTCTCTGATGTTTGAAAACTCGGGATTTTTCTTTATAAAAAAAAAACGGGGTGTTACAACTATCGTGCCTTAAGTCAGAGGATCAGTCATATGTACTATTGCAATATGAAAATTCTTATTCGACAGTTAAAAACTTCTAGCTAAGAACTTTCATCGGCCAATGTTCACAGAACTTGTTCACCAACAAGCACCCGCATATATGAATTTGCGTCCACACCATAATGTTAATGAAATGCAACATCCTCATCTAACAAGCATTCATGATATGTACAAGTTTTATCGAGTTATTCAATGTCGTGTCTTGAAACACCCATCAACTTGGAACTTATTTAAGATCATAGCATTAAAGACATGTTCCATGATTACCATCAAATACGCAATCATGCCTCATAGCTAATAAAGATTTAAGGAAATTATCATATGTTCAAATCTGTAATAAATACAAAGAAATAAAATAAAATTGTGCCTCAAAATAATATAATTTTCAATAAATTGTCTATAGAAAAAAATTCAATCAGACTGGAACGCCGGGTATTCTACCCAACCCGCTCTCTAACGAGGGCCTAGCGATTTGTAGAACAATGTTTCATACTAGGAGGCCTTACCAAATCTTCAAATGCTATAACAGTCATTTAGAAAGTTTTCATATTGTTGTCACCGGATGTAAATTATGATGAAAATCCCCGATTTTAAAAGTTCTCCATCCATAACACATTTTGCTGAGAATTAAGAACTCTGGATATGTAAAAGTCATCAGAATGTAAGAACATTTTCATTACATATTATCACAAACTGCGCTTCATCATTCTGTTTATGCAGTATGTAACAAGCTTATATACTTAAAACATGTTGTGGTTTGATATTCCTTTCCATCTACATCTTTTTCTCAGATGCAACGCTCACAACAAAAGGACTACGTACTCGATACTTCTCACTCGACCATGTAAAGGATCCAAACAAGTCTTCCTGAGAAGGTCCAGTGACCGTGAACTTCACCTGAAAGCTTAATATCTTCACATTCTTGGTGAACTCGAGTTTGTTGGGAATAACTTCAACTTTCAAGATATCAGGAGCTTCTAAGGTGGCCGTGTAGGTCGATTCTTCTTCACCGACATTAGTCACTGTCCTGTTCACTGTCTTGCTTTCGTCCGGTATTAAGTTGGATATGGCTATTGAAGGATAGTTCATGGCAGAGATCAAATCTGGATCTGAGTTAGTTGGGCAGGAAAAGTTATTAGAAACTGTCAACGATATTCTTTTAATTTGGGATGCGTCGTAGCCAAAGTTGCAAAGAAACAATATGTAGTCTGTGGTATTTGTCTCATAAACGAGACCGGGCTTCAATGGGCCCGATAGGCTGATTTCCCCTGCTCCAATGTCATAAGGCGTGGCTCGAGATTCTGTATGTGTAGTGATTGGGGCATGTAGATTGTTCGTCTGGATTGCTGTAAATGAGATATAGAATAGATTATTTTCATTAGGTTTGCAGACGAACAGTAAATTTTTTCTCTTGTTTTCTTTAGTTAAGCATATAAGAACTTCGAGTAAAATTGTAATTTTAGTCATACATGTTTTACTACCATAACTTTTTAGTCCCCTTGGCATTGATTTTTGTTTTTCGTCCTTTATGTTTGCAAAAATGTTACAAAAAGTTCCTCGAGCATAGAGAAGGGACAAAATTGCAACTTTTTTTGCAAAACATAAGAGAAAAAAAAAGCAATTCGAAGAGGACGAAAAAGTTAGGATAGTGAAACATAGAGGACTAAAATTGCAATTTACTCTAAGAACTTCCATCAAATGATAGTACTCAAATGTTTGTTTAGTTTATATTAAATTCGACCTGTTGTCATTATAGCTGATCTGATAGCAGAAGGACTCCATGTGGGATATTGAGACTTAACAAATGCAACAAGTCCAGAAACATGTGGGCAAGCCATAGATGTGCCCGACAATATGTCGAACAGCGGTGGATCCTTATCCGGGATAGCCTCTTTTTTGTCGTTTGAAGGCCATGCCGCTAGAATTGCTACTCCTGGTGCTGCAATATCAGGCTACAAAAACCTCTCACTTTTAGTATGTATTCCTTTGTAAGCACAAAACATTTTTTTTTTCTTTTTTATGCTTTTGTTTACCTTGAGAAGGTTATTAATACCATAGGTAGGTCCCCTTGAAGAGAAGTAGGCAACAACTGGAGCGGGCTTGTAATTGTGCCTCACCACAGTTGGTAGAATCGTGGCCATGGGATTGCTTTCATAATCACATAATGCTAATCAATTATATACAGGTGCATATATTTATTTATATATAATTATGCCTTGTCTTGTCTTGTCTTGTCTTGAATGTGCTAATTGATAATTACCTGGTTGAGTTTATATAAGATAATATTCGATCTCCATCTTTTTGATTTACAATAGCAATGGGTGCAATCCCGTATTTGGATGGGACTTGCCTCTGGTTGTTGTCCGTCAGGATCATCCCGATCGCACCTTGGCTTTTCAACATCGTATACTTGCTTTTCGTTCCATAGAGTCTATCCTCGTTTTTGCACAACACAATTTTCCCCTTCACTTTGCTGCCATCTAATGAACCTAGGATACAATTGCTACAAAAGGTGCCATGCATGCGATGAAATTTCTCATCCACACTTGAAAGAAAGAAAGAATAAACGTTT